AAATAATCTAATAATTTGTTTTCTCTATTGAATAGCTGTCTTTGTTCTCATTTGTCTATATTAACTCTATTTTACTAATGCTTTATTTTTATTAAGCTAATACATATATACTTTAAAGAAAATAGTGTTAAATTTATTAAAAGTAGTTCCAAAGGTCTTGTCCAAAACCATAGTGTCAATCTGCACAGGCATACATTTTTCATGTACTTTTTATTATCCTTGTTTCTATAATTCTAAGTTTTGTTTATCCTGCTATTGCTATTAGCAATTTTACACATTATTTGTTGACTTTATAATAGTTGAGGATTTTTTTGTTTTACTCACATGTATACACAGGCAAGCTATCCTTATCTACTTCCTAAAGTTATTTCACTGTTTAGGGTTACCAGTTGGCCCATGTTCTCATTATTCTGATTATATCGACATCTAAACTAAGTGTTTTCCCTCACAGCCTTTTGTTTTTCCTGGAGTTAATAATTTCCTATTTTTAAGTTCAATTAGTATACTTTGTAACTATTGTAAATTATTTCACAAGTGTCTCCATGTACTCATCTTGATTACACTGATTGGGATAGTCTACTAAAAGAATCCACCCCAAAACATTTCAGGTTTTTTTAATGGTATAAGTTTGTTTCTTGCTCATGTCACAGTGCAATGTATGACAGTTAGGGTTTCTATGCCACATAAACATTTAGGGCCACCAATATCTTTCACCTCTGAACTTAATGTCTTCTAAGACCTCAGTTCCTCATTGAGTCTCTGTGTCTGCATACTAAGTTCCATGCCTTCCTACACTAGAGGCCTAGGAAATGAAGCCTAGGGGGATGCTCAGGAAAAAAGAGAACACTGAACACTACCACTCTTCATTGCATACACTTTTATCATCATTTTTTTTGTACATCAAATAATTATCATTTTCTTATTTTTTTCATTGAAATTTTTCACTTTCACTTTACAACTATCCTGGAAAATCCATTTTACTGTATACTGTGTTGGGCCTCTACTTCCTGGGTTCCATCTCTTAAGACCTTTAAAGAATCTTCTAGATTCATTACTGCCCTTGAGAATACAGTGCAGTGTTTATTCTTTTCCTTTGTATGTGTGGGCTGCTTTATGTTTCTGGAGGGTGTTTTAGGTTCTCCTTATTCCTGAACTCATAATATTTCAAAATAATATATCTTGATATATTTTTTAAAGAAGTGTTTATTTATGCGTACAGAGCTGGGGTACAGGCCAGAGGTGCAGGGGCGGTGAGAGAATTCACCAAAGACAAAGTGGGGAGCAGAACAGGCTGACTGACCAAGTACACTGCTGAGGGGAGTGGCCGGCACAGGTAAGGAGAGGTCTGCCGCACCATGTGGATCAGCTCTGTGGCCCGGATGGAACTCATGCTGAAGTGGCTTTAGCTTCTTAGTGCTGTGCTTTAAACTGCTGCGCCACCAGGGAGGGCCCTGTGTCTTGATATTTTTAATTAATCAACACTTTTTTTTCCTCTTGGACTTTAAAAAAAGATAATATAATAGTTTATTTTTACATCATTTTGTGCATTTTTCCATCTCATTTGTAATCCTCTTGGGCTTCCCATCACCAAATCACCCGTGTGCCATCACCATAATGGATTTCATAGTGGATTTTTTTTTTTAATTTTAAAAGCTTTTGGTTCTATTGCTGGAATTGTTTCACATTATTTCTTTAATTTTATACCCCTTTCTGAATGGAAAATCTATTCTGATGTTTCTAAGATTCCCATTGCTCACAGGTTTCTCCCTTTTCTCCAGGGTCATCTTTCTATGGCTTTGTATTTCATTTTCCTGGAGTTTTTCACCTTACTATTCTAACCCATCTGTTGAATTTTTAAAATTTTGATGTTTTTAATTTCCAGAGATTTTTTTCTTGTATATAAATTGTTGAATTCATTTTTCTGTAGGAGTGGAGAAAATTGTATGTGTTCAGTTCATCTTGTTAAACCACAAATTACTCCAGCTTACTTTCTACAGAAGATAAACCTCCACTCTCCTGGAGGCTGGGTTGAGCAGATGGAAGGACTTATGGTTGGTTGGTTGCACAGCAGTGGGGAAGGGAGTGTCAGGACCAAACATTGTGCATCCAGATGTCAACCCAAACCCCTGTGTTCATTCCACCACCTGAGTGCCTTCCATGGTGGTACGTCTGTCTTCTAGACCTAAGGCCTTCCTGGCTCATGCAGAGAAATTTGTCTGTCTTATTCATCACCCCTGCTAAAAGCATGCAGTAAATAAACTTCTTTCCTCTTCCAAATCAGCTACCAAACCTCCATCTGATTTAGGTTCTTCTAAAAATCCATTGCAGTTTATTGGACCTTTGATATCTCTTCTCCTCTTTATTTGTCTTTATGGTTTAGTAACAGCTGAAAGTGTTATGCATTACTGTGTTAGAGAAATTTGCACAAGAAGAGATGAAATTCCACACGCAATCTGATATTTTTCACTAGAAGTGTTTGTGTACATTTATATAGCTGCTTCCTTTAGTGATGTATTTGTGGAATGTTAATCTAATTGAAGACAGAAAATTTATCTGTGTAATTTGTATGTATATAATTCAGATACAGGGAGGTTTTCTATTTGTTTTATAGATACATCCTACAGTCACCTTGCTTCCAGGCTCTTGCCAGGCTCTGCCTCTTGTCAAAGCAGTCAAGTGTTATTACTTTCATGTTTTTCCACACCTTCTCCTACTTGGAACCCCTCTTCCCATGGAGAAGGGCAAGTCCCACAATTGGCAAATGGCATCATTAAGAACTCGCTTGTCTCAGAGCCTCAGAACCTGAAAGACAAGACTTAACCTGGGAGGTAATTCTGGGAGAGTTGTCCCCACAAGAGTGGACTTTACAGGCAGCTGACACACTTATGGAGGAACCTTGACAAGAAGAGCACATAAATGGTGTGTGCTTGACTTTCACACAGTAGAAACTTTGTCAGAATTAGCGGGAGGCAGCGTGGTCTCTGGCCACCATGAGCTCAGCCTTTGGGATCAGCTGCCGTGAGGGCTACTGTGATAGACCTTCACCATCTGGATATTGCTGGAACTTTCTCAACATCAGCTTTTCCTTTTTAAAAAGGGGTCAAAAGCATAATAGACGCCATGCCTATTTCAAAGCAAGGTTGTGAAAATCAAATGAGATGATCTATGGGCAAGGCCTTTATAAACGCTCTTGCACATAGGAAATTATAGCTATTAGGATTAATGTAAATGACACATAAACGAGGTAAAGAATGTGGATTATCGTTGCATGGTGCAGAGAATCATATATTAGATCATATTATGTTATACACTCATTTATTTTTGAGGCATCATTTTTAAAAAATATTCTTTGATCTTTTTTAACTTTATTCAATTTATTTATTTTATCTCATTATTCATGGTTGTACCATATTTGACTTCTCCCATCAGGTGTAGTTCTTGTAGTTTTTCCACCATCAAAGCACCTGTGACCCATTCCCCTCCTTCCTTGTGCCTTTTCCTCCCCTGTTTTAACCCATCACGGCCCCCTTCCCCTCCTGCACGCCTCTGTTCTATGGTCAGCTAGCAGAGCATAACATAGCAGCCGATTTTCATTTAATTTTTTTTGTGGGATCATTTTTAATTAGTGTGCTGTATACAGTCAAATGTTCTATAGCCGTGGTCTTTTTTTTCTTAAGCTCTTCAGATTTTGCACAAGCACCTGTAACTTACCTATTGTTGACAGATACAAAGTAGATTTACCATAAATGTAGTATAGGCATCTAGAAGACCTATTTGAAAATCTACATCTGAATCTCCGATACATTCTCCTAATAAATAATTTCTGTAAATTGGATCTTAAATTGGGAGAATGGAATAAATAGGTGTTATGAAAATAAGTATAGCCAACACGTATAGGAAATTTTCTGCACCAGACACAATTCTTGAACTTTGCTATTAAGAGTGCATTTACTCACAATAACTCTCTGAGGGCATTTTGTCTCACTTTCAAGACTGAAGTACAGAAAAAGAAGTTATTTCCTATTTTCCTAGTAGATAGATCGCTAGGGATGGGATGTTGCATGAAAACTTCTTGGCTGTAGTTTGCTTGCTGTCCTTGATTTCGGAAGTGGCCTTTTCCTTTTTCCCTACCTCAGCACTTCCATGGGGATACTCCCAAGGGGGTAGTATTGTAACAGTGCCTCCCAGATCAAGCCTTAGGGCACCCAGTTAGAACTGGGTCCAACAGTGAAAATGTAAGTAGTCAGACTACCATCATCAATACAAGCAATTTTCCAACTTTGGGGTTTTCTTAAACAGAGGCTTAAATTAACTCTAATTCTGTGTATACTAGTTTGCAGTCTTCCCTTGACCATCAGCCTGTCAACTAGGGATTCCAGTGTAACCCCAAGAATGGGCCAGGGCCTTTGTGAAGGACGGATGAGCCCACTATCCAGAAGCCAGGGCTGCTGTCTAGTAGGTACCTAATACTTATTCACTAAATGCCTGTGCCCCTGACTTTGATCTCAGAGACAACCCCCATTTACTAACCAACTGGAGGATGTCTGAGTGACCTTCGGAGGAGGGATGAGGCCGGTGCATACTGATGGACCTATTAGTAGAGTCCAACTTTTAAAGTACTAATTTCTTCCCTGACACTCCTTTCTCTTCCTGGGCTTTCTCTACTCTCCAACGGCAATCCCTTGCTCTCTCTATTGTTAAAGAGACATCCCCTGGGACGAGAGAATCTGAGGCTTTGCAAGCAGTTCTCACAGTGCTCTGGGCTTTCTGAGTAAGTGATTATCCGAGAAAACAGGAGGAAATAATACAATCCAAATGAGCTGGCTGCTAGAGCACGCAGCCGCGTAGCGCGGAGAATTGAACCAGAAGTCAAGTGCGTTTGAGTCACCGGCGCGATCGCCTGAGGTGCGCGCAGCACATCCGCCCAGGACCGGGAGACACGCCTTCCGCTCGCCCCAGCCTTCCAGATCCCGGCGTCGCGGCGGGCTCAGGGGTGGCGCTACGAGTCCTGCCACTTGCCGTCTGCCGGGGCCGGGCCGGAGCCGGGCTGCAGCGCCGGGGATCGGCCGGGCGCCACAGGTTGGAAACTCAGGCGCTGTCCTCTGACTGTCGCCTGTCGAGCCGATCCTGTGTGGCGGCTGGCGTGGAAGCCCCGGAGCTCGAGAGCTGGGGAGAGGGGAAGGCAACCTCTGAAACCTGACACTCAGCCCTCGCCCGAAAGGAAAGTTCGCAGGCTGGTGAGTAGGGGAAGCCCGGCTGCCTCGGCTGGAATGTGTTCCCACCCACCGGGGCTGGGCGGCTGCGAGCTGCCTGCGAAAAGGAAGTGAGACGTGGAGGAGGCGAGGCCGAGGGAGGGAGGCGAGCGGAGCCTGGCGTTGGAGCCCCGCGACCTGGCGGTGGGTGGGCGCCCACCCCGCGGGGAACCCGCGAGCCCACGAACGTGGGCGCAGGCGTCCCCGGAACACTGAGGCTGCCGGTTTGGCTTGGGCGCCTGCCTGTCCAACAGCTGCTTAGGACTTGCAAAAGCTGGCCCGCCAGCAAAGCCCTGTGGCTACCGTTTGTATCTCAAAACCAAACAGAATCATAGTTAATGCTACTAATGATGGTAATAAGAACGAGCTGTTGAGTTTTGATTAAGGAGATGGTATTTAGTCAGGCAAGCCAGGCAAGTGATGGGACTTCTTACTTCTTCTGATGATATCGCTGCAGAGAAATCAAAAGTAATTTTATAGTCCAACATTTTACTGTCCCTTCTGAATTCTGATCCAGAATTCAGCTCTGAGGATGTCATGTTGTGTGTTCCGTCAAGAGGTCATGCATATTTAGTTTAGTACGCACCAATCCATCATTATCTTAAAACTATGGAAGCAGGTAAAAGGGAACTAGTAAAAGCTAGAGCGTGAGTTCCCAGGGAAAAGCTGTTTGGTTAAAGCACCACACCTGTGATTACTAGCCATTTATTTCAAGATCTGCAAATAAAGGTTCAAAATTCAAGTTATTTACATATACATTATTAAAATGAAGCCCAAATGAACAATCTGTAGCTTGAGGGTCATTGATAACTAAATTATTTGATGTAATAATGATTATGCATTTTGACATAGTTCTGTTTAATATTACCTATATTATATACATATTAGTGTAGTTCCCACTGTGAAAATTGGGCAGAAAACATGGTCTTCCGCTGTATATCCTCAAGTATAAACTTGTATTGAATGGCTTAGCTGCTAGGCAGTGAGAGTCATACTTGCCTTATGCCAGTCCCCCCAAATTATTATCTTCATAATTCCGTACCATAATTCTCTACCCAGAGGGGATCAACACTTCTTCAGGGCAAGATGGGATTCTTGGGAATGACCCCCCCAAAAGTAAAATTGATCCCTAATTTAATATTAATGACATTATCTGCTGAAGAGCTGATGATAGCCTCCCATAGAATGTTACCATCATAGCTTTTGAAAGAAAAACAAAACTTTTCAGATGAAACTGGATAAGCCTGTTTTCAGAGTTGCCAAGAAGAAATAAAGGGAATCTGTCAAATGTAAGCAAACCACTGGTCTCTCATAGGTCATTTCTGGAAGAGAAGTAGGTGATCTGGAAGGGAAGGTAGCACTAATATCACTAATCTCAGCTCCTTGGCACACCAGTTTATACTAAAATTATCTACTAGTTCTGAGTGGCTTTCCATTTATTTAACTGTTCTTCTGGAAAAGTGGAATTCTTCCAAAGCACCAGGTGGTTCAGAACAGAAATCTGCTCTTTTCCCACCCTTACTCTGGGGAAATGTTTGGTCTTTTTTTTTTTTTTTTGTCTTTTAAATCTGGGGATTGTGAAGCATAGACCAACTATTCACATAAAGCATAGCTCACAATTAATCCAGTTTCTTGAGTTGATTCATCAAGGCAGGTTAACCAAGTAATTGTGTAAGCAAGTAATTGTCATGTGGATTTGTGGGAAAACAATTACAGTAAAAAACAGGATAAACCAGGCATTTCCTATGGATAGTAGGTCGTTTTCTAAAGATGGCAGCTAGAAAAAAATGATTTTTTACTGATTGTCAGGTGTACATTATAGTAGGAACTACATTGCTAAACACAATAACAAACCTACTGTGACCCCATAAACGGAGCTAAGAGTATTACTTAACTTGTCTCACACCTTTTGCAATCATTATTCATGTTCTGCAAATATTAACCATCTCTCACTGGCCCTGCCTAAATGAAGGAAACTTGCCTTGATTATCAACATGGAGAATACAACTTTAACATAGCCAAACAATTTCCACACAGGTATCTTTCTAACTAAACAACTGCTCCTATATTGAGGTGTTTCTTATTCATTTATTCAGGAAGTAATTATGAATAGTGTTATGCACCATTCTGGGGTCTGTGTGGACAAAAATGAACAAAATAGACAAGATTGAGCCCCAGGGCGCATGTGAAGTACAGCGTGATAGACAGTGAACAGCATGAGCAGGTTGAATGGGTGATGCCATAGAGATAGTGCCAGGGAAGGGCCACAGGGCAGAGGAGGGGGCAGTGTCAGCGGCACTGACCTGCAATTTTGGAAATTTTAGATCATCTGCCTCACTCAGGAAAGCCTCACTGAGAAGATGATATTTGGATGTTATTCCAAAGGAGGACAGGGAGTGAGCCATGCGGCTCCCAGGAGGAGGAAGAACTTTCCAGATTGGAGGAACAATGCACAAGAATTTACGTAGCATCTCCCAGGAATCCTGTACACCTGCAGCAGGAGTGCGAACAGGGTAGCCCTCAAAGGGGAGGAAACAGCTAGCCCACATCACACAGGGCTTTGAAGGTCTATGAAATATGAAATACGTTGACTTTTGATGTTTATTCTGGGTGAAATAAGAAAACGCTATGATTTTGATATTGTCTATTGAAGATTCCTTCAGCAAGTGTATGTGGCGATTTGGAGCCATTGGCAACTCTGATAGGAGATGGAGTTCTATAAACATAAGGAATTCAGAGAAATTAAAATTTAAAATTCTGGAAGCAGCATTTCCTATAATCCATAGAGACCACCAGAGACATTCGTGAGGTTACGTTGAAGCTCTAATAAAATCACTATTTGAGAGCGGCTGGTAGAACATGGAAACAAAGGAACTACATGAGCTGTGAGAACTGCAGGAAGACTGAGCCCCATAGCAGGCTGATGCTTGCACAGAAATGCAGAGATTAATGAGTCTTTGGCATTGTCTAGCACAAATCAGTGGATAAGGAAGTTTGTGAACATAAGAAAGTGAAATTACTCAATTTCTATTTTGCTTCCCTTGTCTTCATAAAAGAAGTACTGAAAAATGGAGAGTTAGGAAATACTAAGTGAACATTACAATCAGAGAAAGTTGAGATGTGACTGGGACACTTAGTCATTTCTTTAAAAGGGAAAGAATAAAGGTGGCTGTGGGCAAGAGCCCCTGTCTGAGGACCTAGTGCTTCAGTTGAGATATAAGGATGCCCGTGTGCCAGCCAGGTGGATAAAAGGGAATAAACAGTTCACACTTGGCAAAGAGCTTCATGAATTCAGTGAACTGACAGAAAAATCTAGAAAGGAGAAATCAGGCCAAGGTAGGTGACACTTGAGGGTGGCACCCTAAGACTCCATGTTGTGGAGATAGTCTTGTTTTGATAAGTTGTATTAGAGGACCCTCAAACTCTCTTTTAAAACTTTACTCTTACAAATACAAGAACACAGTTTGATATTCAATAGATACTCTACATCACAATTTAAGAGGCAGTAATGAAAGTTTAGTTAAAATAGTTGTAAAAAAAATAACAAAACTCATCATCAATTAAGCTAATGCTACCATAAAAATCAATTGCCTAAAATCCAGAAATGTTGAACAGCATTTCTTTTTTATATATATTCATAGATAAACTATATTCATGTATATGAAGGCATCCACATTATTTTGGGAATAGTTTCATAGAAGGCATATACAAATATCTAACTTGGTGGGATTTGAACCAAACCATTAAGATTCTGTTATTAATCAAATACTACCTAGTGCTGAGTAGTGTATAGCTAAGGACATGACATTGAAGCCAGATTTTCTCCAGTGTAAAATAAAGGGAATAGATTGAATATTTCAACATCCTTATTGGTTTACCCTAGAACTGGGTAACCTACAATCTTATTTCATGTTTTCTCCCTTTTCTCCTTGTTTCCTCTCTTCTTTCCATTTATGTATCTGTTTTTCCATTTAGATAGGTAGGTACATAGATGCATGGATAGATAGAGATGCATATATGTGTGTTTATAATATACATGTATATGCATACACACAGAGAGAGAAATAACTTCTATATGATATACAGATATGATATATGTACATATATACATATGAACTAGGTGACAAAAAAAGTCCACTTTAAGAGGTGTAGAAAAAAAGCTTCTTTGTCTTCTTTCTTAAGCATTTATATATTTATTTTCAATTTTTTGAACTTTAACCCAATTTGTTTTCTTGTAGGTTTTCTCTGTAAAGTAGAAAAATGAAACTGTGTATCAAATCTGACGTAGGTGTACACTAGAACAAAAAGAATTAGAAAAAGAAAAATTGGTTTGTATGATATTTGTCTGTTTTAACCTACATAAGACTTCAGAGCCTGAGAAGGTCATGAAAGAATTTACTTAATTTATATGGCTTATTATTTAAAATATGATAGTGTCATAAATAAAATGTCCTGTTAATAAATATTTCTGGACATATCATAATATTAAAAATAACAAAGTTACATAAATTTTTTTAATGAGGGAAAGATGAATAGTCCTCTCAATATTTTGTTTATTTTTTAAAAAGAGAGTGAGAAACATTTTCAGGATGAAAAACTTCCAAATTTCATATAGACTCAGGGGCTTCCTCCTCCTGACATGCCACTGATTTACTACTAGTTTTTTCCAAATGTTGAGAAACAAAAAAGCAATTCAACCCATTTTCTGGTTTCTTAATTTTTTGAGTGAACTAAATACAGATACCAAAGCCATTGAGAAACTGTTATTCTCACTCTCTGTTCTTATGCTTCTACATAGGAACTTTGATTCTAATCTTCTAAGGTTGCTAGGACCTATTGTTAAGTGCTATAGCTCAGGATTTGTATAAAGACTTATATTAGTAGCAATAAAGGGGAGGAAGGGGAATGAAGATTGTGTAGTAGTAATAAAGTGAAATGAGCAAATTGAGTTCACTTTCCTCTCCAAACTGCACTAGATCATATCA